GCCCGCCCCCCTCACCCCACCGGAAACAAGCCAATGACGGGCAGCGGCGCTCCTCGCTCCACCCTCCCAGGTGTGACCCGGGCGGGGGAGGAGGCGCCCGTGGGATTCGCCCTAGATCGGTGGCCCGTGCGGCTGGGAGGGAGCGTAAGGGAGGAGCGGGGAGCGCGCACGCGGCAGCCCTTCGGGGGAGGAAAGGGGAGGCTACCGTGCGCAGATCCTCTTAGCCCGGACTCGGAAAGCACGTGAAGAAGGGCTAAAAGGAGAATTTGGAAGTTACGCTCCTGCGCAAAGTATGGCTGGAAAATTCGACAGCGACTTGGCGCTGTTTCTGGAAAGCGGAATTTCCCGTCAGCCCAGCGGAACTTTTGTAAAACCAAGAACCGCTCGTGGGGACAGAATGTATCGTAATTTCAGAGAGGTAGTTAAGTTGTGCAAGACTTACTGAGGGAAGGCTACCATAAAAAGCAATCATTGCATCACTTCACATACGCAGGAAAAGCACACCAAACAGCCACTTGGACGCTTCATGCTGGTTTTTGGGTTGCAGAAGGAAATGTAATGGGTGGTATAAGTAATAGGACATAGTTATGACGGTTTCGGAGATTCCTCAGGTTGGTCATATGCTCAGCTGTCACCACACACAGTAAAGGAAGATTTCATTAATTTGGCAAGCTATTCGGTGAAACTGCTCATGGTTGTTGTGCAACAGCATCTGAAGTCTTGGGCAAACTGGAAAACAAACTTAAAAAGCAGGTGGTGAATTAAGAACATATACTGGTAATCTGCTAGATAGTTGAAAGTATGACACCAGAACTGATTATTTGTTCATTCTGCTTGTCACCAATTAGTTACTCATGAATTAGTTTAAAAATGTCAAAAGGCAATTCAAGCGTTTTTAAAATCCTGCCAGTCCTTGCTTAGAAGATAATGCTGCTTCAGTTTTAGGACTGAACATGAGGATACTGAAGGGTGGAAATACTGTAAGATAAATTGTCTGCAAAAGTTGAATATTTCAACCGCTTCTTGTCCATTTGCTTGCAGTTGGTCAATTGGAGCATGTATTCCTGTTTAAACTACCAAGAGGGAAAAATAGCAAAGACTAGAATGTATGCAATTTCTGTTTTGTTAAATGTTGGCCTTTCTAGATTTCTTCAACATTTACATATTTTAATTGCTTCAAAAAAAGGAAGTGGCATTTCAGAGAATTGTTTTTGTGGGTTGTCTACTTTGTAAGATATACTAAAAGAGTGTGAGATTTTATAAAGTCTTGATCTTCCTCTGCTCTGCTATTTTAATACAGTGTCCTTCCATCTGCCTCCATTTTCTGCATCAGCTTACATCACCAAGAGACTGAGCATTAAAGTTCTCTGATCTTCTTGTTCCACTGGGATTTTTATTGCTGCATTGAACATACGGGTCTTTGGCCTTTGCAGATTGTGAAACATTTCTGAATATATATTTCAGCTGCTTCAAGCATCAGATACTGTGATCAGTTAAGCAACAAATTTCTTTATAGCAGCCTTTGCTTTCCCATTAGTTCACCAACTATAGTACTTTGGTCTGATTTGGGAAAACTAATCATTATTTTGTGGGCTCCATATTCTACTATTTATTTTGAAAGGCAACCACTGTATTTCATTTTCCATCTGCTTGAAAATATCCTGAAAGCCTGTAAGGGTTTCAGAATATTGTAATTGGGATGAAGACACATAAGTGTTTTCAGACTTCTCAGTAGCTTTTGATACAATAGACCATGGTATTTTATCAAGTTGATGAGTTAGAAATAGGTGGAACTGTGTTGCATTGGTTCCATTCCTACCTGTGGGGCCATTCCCCAAAAGTGGTGCTGGGCAATACTATCGCCATAGTATCAAAGTGGAGTTCCACAGGGTCTAATCTGGTCACCCATCCTGTTTAATATCTATATGAAGCTGCTGGCATATTACAGTAGCTATAGAAAAGCAACTCAGCAAATTAAGTAGCTAATAGACTGAAACCAAATCCTGAATATGGACAGATTGTCACTACTATAACAGGCCCAACTTATAATGCTGGTTACCTACCTATACAGCCCTAACTGGTTCTGGACATCAATATCTGGGAGATTGCCATGTGGTCAGTACTGGGTGAGGCAACCCGAACTGTGGTATGGACGGCTTGCTGATGGTCCGATCCTGCAAGAGGCTGTAAGGCATATGGCCATCAATGGGCCTTCTCAACAGCAGCATTAGACCTTTGGAAAGAACCTCTGACAGATGGCCCCTCACCTTGGATTTTAAGAGAAAGGCTAAAGACTTACTTGTTTACCTTGGCATTCCCTTAAACTTGAATTAAATTTGGCCTGAAATATAAGGACTATTAATGTTTAACATTCTATTGTTGTTTTGTGATTTTATTGGTGGAAGCCACCCTGAACATCATCAGGTAGTAGGCCAGGATATAAATCTAATAAAAGCAAGCAAGGCTGCTATTGACCGCAACTTGTTACTATCTTCACTCTCGGTGCTTGTTCTCTTTGGCAATAGTACTCTGACTCTGTGACTTTCATAGCCCATGCCAGGAAGGTAGTTATATTAATTATATGTGTTATATATTATAATGGAATATATATTTAGATTATATATTATCTTATACAGTGTATTATATAGAAATTGGAATGAATGAATGAATGAATGAATGAATGAATGAATGAATGAATGAGGTCTGAACCTGTCATTTTCAGTCAGTGGGGAAATGTCCCAGAAAACTACAAATACTTGAGTGTTGGGTTCTTAGTGGACTTAAGCACTAATGAATTGCTGTACTAAGGGCCCACTAAATAGCTATGTTACTATTGAACTGTACTACTGACCGACTGACAGCTGATTTGGAGAGAAAATTGAATTCAGCATTCAGTGTTGGTAAAGCACCAGGGAAAGATCAAGAAAATACTTGGAAGAAAGAACAGAGCATTGAAGCAGAAGATCAAGAGAGGTCACTGTTACAGTCAGGGTCAGAGAGCCCGAGAAGCAGCCTGGTTTCGGATGCATGATTCCTACTATGCCATGCTGGACTGGAGTCTTGAGTAACTTTGATAGTCTACAGTATACAGGGGAAGATTTGGGGTGAAGAAGAAATCTGCTTTGCCAAGAGGTCCATGGGAATCCAACCTTCAATCCGAATGTAAACAAGAGGAAATATTAGGTTAAAAGTGACCTTTTGGCTGTGTTGTGTTACCTATTTACTATACTTTTTAATCCAATCTTTATTTTTGATCAGCTCAAAACAGCAAACATACTTGATGTCCCTACCTTCTATTTTCCTCACAACAACCACCCTGTAAAGATGGGTTGGGCTGAGAGAGAGCAACTGGCCTGAAGTCCCTCAGCTGGCTTCCATGGCTAAGGGTGGACTAGAATTCAGTCTCCTGGTTTCTAGTCCAGCACCTTAGCCACTACATCAAACTGGCTCTCATTTGCCCAACGCACTTAGCCGGGTCAATCGAAGAGATAGCAACTGCACTTTTTTATTAGTTATTTTTATGATGTATTTGGGGGACAGAGGATTTGTAAGTTGTGCAAACCCT